AAATAAGAGTGGTGAAAGTGGGCATCCCTGTCTTGTTCCTGTTCTTAAGGGAAATGCTTTTAGTTTTTGCCCATTGAGTATGATGTTTGGCTGTAGATTTTTATATATGGCCTTTATTATTTCAAGATATGATGCCTTTATTCCCACATTGTTGAGTGCTTTTATCAGAAATAGGTGCTGGATTTTTGTCTAATGCTTTTCAGCATCTATTGATATGATCATATGGTTTTTATCTTTTATTTTGTTTACATGGTGTATCACATTTATTTATTTGTGAATATTGTACCAGCCTTGCATCCCTGGGATGAATCCCACTTGGTCATGGTGAATAATTTTCTTGATGTCTTGCTGGATCTGATTTGCTAGTATTTTGTTAAGGATCTGGGCATCTGTGTTCATCAGGGATATTGGCCAATAGTTTTCTTTCTTCGTAGTGTCTTTTTCTGGTTTTGGAATTAGAATTATGCTGGCTTCATAAAACAAGTTTGGAAGTCTACCTTCTTGAATATTTTGCAATAGTTTGAGGAGAATGGGTGTTAGATCTTCTTTGAATGTTTGGTAAAACTCCTCCGTGAAGCCATCCAGGCCTGGGCTTTATTTTTTGCTGGTAGTCTCTTGATTACATCTTCAATTTCCTTAGTTGTTATTCGTCTGTTCAAGTTTTCTTTCTCTTCCTAGTTCAGTTTTAGGAGACTGTTTGTTTCTAGAAATTTGTGCATTTAGCCTAGATTGTCCAATGTATTGGCGTATAATTGTTCATAGTATTTTTAAATGGTCCTTGTATTTCTATGGTGTCAGTTGTTACTTCTCCTCTTTTGTTTCTGACTTTGTTTATTTGGGTCCTCTCTTTTGTTTCTTGGGGAGTCTGGCTAAGGTTCTATCAATCTTGTTTATCTTTTCAAAGAACCAGCTCTTTGTTTCATTGATCTTTTGAATTGTGTTTTTTTGGTTTTTTGTTTGTTAGTTTAGTTTCTATGTCATTTATTTCTGCTCTGACCTTTATAATTTCTTTCCTTCTACTTGCTGTGGGTTTTTCTTATTGTTTACTTTCTAGTTCTTAAAGTTGTAGGATTAGAAAGTCAATGAGAAATTTTTTTTATTTCTTGAGGTATGAACTTTCCTCTCAGGACTGCTTTCATGGCATCCCGTAGATTTTGTGTTGTTGTGTGTTCATTTTCATTGGTTTCCAGGAAGTTTTTAAATTCTTTCTTGATTTCCTTGGTAACCCATTCATTGTTTAATAACATGCTATTTAACCTTCATGTGTTTGAATGTTTTTGCTGTAATTAATTTGTAGTTTCATGCCATTGTGATCTGAGAAGATGTTTTATATGATTTCAGTCTTCTTGAACTTGTAGAGTCTCAACACATTTTTTATTTATTATTTTATTTCTTATTGACCCCTTGGTTGTTCAGCAACATGTTTAATCTCCACGTATTTGTGAATTTTCCAGTTTTCTTACAATAGAGTTCTAGTTTTATACCACTGTGTTCAGAAAAGATGTTTAATATAATTTTAGTCTTCTTAAATTTGTTAAGGCTTGTTTTGTGTCCTAAGATGTGGTGTACTGTGGAGAATATTCCATGTACACTTGAGAAGAATTTGAGTGCTGTTTCTTTGGGATGGGATGTTCTGTATATATCTTAAGTTCATCTGTTCTAATGTGTCATTTAAGGTTGATGTTTCCTCAACATGTCTGGATGATTTATTCATTGACGTAAAAGGAGTATTAAAGTTTCCTAATATTATTATATTGCTGTGTATTTCTCCCTTTAGGTCTATTAATATTTGCTTTATAGGTGTTCCTATGTTGGGTGCATATGTATTCTCTTGTTGGATTAACTTCTTTATCATTATGTAACATTCTCCTTGTCTCTTGTTGCAGTCCTTGTTTTACAGTCAGTTTTGTCTAATACACATATTGGTACCCCAACTTTCTTCTGGTTTCTATTTGTACAAAATATTTTTTCCTATTCCTTTCAGTTGTGTATGACCTTACATCTGAAGTGAGTCTCTTGTTTGTTTTTTTAGCTCTTCAGCCATTCTATGTCTTTTGCTTAGAGAATTTAGTCTATTTCTTTTTAAGTAATTATTTATAGGTATATACTTATTACCATTTTGTTCATTGTTTTCTGGCTGTTTTATAGTTGCTCTGTTCCTTTCTTCATCTCTTGTTCTCTTCCTTTGTGATTGAATGACTTTTTTGGTATGCTTCAATTCCTTTTTCATTATCTTTTATTTATGTCCTGTAGGTTTTTGTTTGGTGGTTACCATAAGGCTTACATGTAACACCTTATATTTATTACAGTCTATTTTCAAGTTAGGTTGTTTTAAGTTGATAATAACTTAAGTTTGAGTGTATTTGAAGCTCTATGTTTTTTACTCCCCCCACACACACCCTTTTATAAATTTGATGTCACATTTTACATCTTTTCATCTTGTGTATTCCTTAACTATTTTAGTAACAGTTGTTTTTACTAATTTTGTCTTTTATCCTTCCCACTCGCTTTATAAGTAATTAATCCACAACCTTTACTATATATTTACCTTTACTAGTGAGATTTATACTTTCATATGTTTTAATGTTACTAATTAGTGCCCCCCTTCCTTTTTTTAGCTTAAAGAAGTCCCCTTAATATTTTTTTGTTAGGCTGGTTTAGTGGTGATAAACTCCTTTAGCTTTTGCTTATCTGGTAAACTATGAGTCCTTCGATTCTGAATGATAAGTTTACTGGGTAGAGTGTTCTTGGTTGGAAGTTTGTTTTTCTTTCTTCTTTATAAACCAGTCAAGAACTGTTATTATCTTCTTTAATTTAAATCAGCAACTTTTTTTCATTTTTTTTCTTTGTTAAACATCAAGTATATTTCTAGAACTTTGCAAAAAGTGTCTTACCCTTTTCAAATTCTCTCTTATAATTTGGCTTTAAATGAATTTATGATGATAGCAACCTCAGTATTCCAAGCTGGGGATGAAGTTGAAACTTTAACAGGATATGGTGGTGTTAATTAACTATAATAGATTTGTTCATTTACAACACACAGATTTTTTTCCATTACAGCAAACAGATTGTAATTGTTTATTCAACTATAATCCCTAATATTGCACACATTAGAGAAATCTGAAGGCACAAAATAATTGTGTTTCCTTAAGAAAAAAAGTATTCCTTGAGTGATTTCTAATGGCTAGTAGTTATATATTTGGGAAACATATAAACACCAAAGAAAATACCAAATAATTGTAAAGCAGCCAGTCTTGAGGAGAAGGATTTAGAAAGGATGGAGGAGGGGGCACAAATAAAACCTCATACCTAGTGATTACTCCATGTCCTCAAGAAGCATGCTAAAATGTAACTTTGTGTGTTTTTTTTATATATAGTTTGCTGATGACATTAGTAAAACAAAGAAACATTTGTTGAGCACTTACTGCGAGCCAGGAAAGTCCTAGGAATTAGAGGAATTAAAGATAATTAAAACATTCTATTTGTTTCACTAGGGCATGACCAACTGATAAATCCTGTGGTGTGTAAACAGTTTAAAAACCATAATTGAATTGTTGCGAAATTCAACATGAAAGAAAATAAATTCAGATTTTTTTCATTCAAAATATATATTGTAAACAAAACCTTTTTAACTTAGCTTTACATATAAAATAGAAAAAAAGATTGAAACAGCAATTTCATTTATAGAAAACAGTTGGAATTGGCCTTAACTTTATTGTATTATTATTGAACTAATAGAATATTTAACACTTTTGAATGCTCATAGATGCCAAAGTTGTAAAAGACCTTTTTTATGTTTTAATTTATTTTAGAGAAATGAAAGGGGGTTGGGGGGACATCGATTAGCTGCCTCTCATGCATGCCCCAACCAGGGATAGAACCAACAACCTGGGTATGTGAACCCACCACCTTTTGGTGTGTGAGACAATGCTAAAACCAACTGGGCCACACCAGACAGGGCTTTAAAAGGTCTTTATGTGTCCAAGGGCTCATGTTAGATTTTAAAGTCATATTTATTACATCTCAGACTATCTGCTGTCTCCTGGATGATGCTGAGGAAAAGTCTGGCACTTGAGTGAAGGGATTTGAATCTGCAAGTTCTTCAAAGCTAGTCATTCATTCATTCATTCATTCATTTATTTTTTTATCCTCATTTGAGGACATTTTTTCATATTTTTGTTCAGATAGAGTGGGAGGGAGAGAGAGAGAGAAAGAGAGAAACATCGACATGAAAGGGACATATCGAGTGGCTGCCTCCCGCACCACCCAACGAGGGCTGGGGACAAACTGCAACTGAGGTACGTGCTCTTAGTGGGAACCGAACCCGGGTGTCTCTGGACCGCAGACTGACGCTCTAACCCCTGAGCCAAACTGGCCAGGGAGCTAGTGATTCTTTTAGAAGTATTTTTTAAAGCCCGCTTCGTGGTCATTTTTACTAGAATTTCAAATTTTAAAATATTTGCCTTCATCTTTATCTAAGTTCAACGATTTCTGTCCTAAAACTCCGAGGTTAGAATAATTTGAAGTTGAGAAACATAGGACCTGGGGAGGGAGAAGTCTCAAGCTCTTTAAATCATGTCTTATGTACCCTTTACATCCATTCCAGTCACACAAGGCAGGACTCATTAACAGAAGAAATGTGTGTCATTCTGCACAACAGAAACCAGCAGCATCACACTATTGCCATAGTCTTTGCCCTGCTTTATTTCACAGAAATCTTCCCCACAACTTCTGTGATAATTAAAATTCTTTATGGCTCTGCTGTTGGTATTTTGCACTGTAAGAGTGTTTGTATTCGCACCGTATTCCAGTGTTCAGGCTTCTCAGCTCTTGTGAGGCAGAGTTGCTGGCTTTTATATTCCATCTTGTTTTAGGGACTCGGGCTAACTTACTTGAAGACTTAAAATGAAAAAGTAATACTTTCTGTATAGTTTGATGTGCATATATAGCTGAAAAGACATGTCTCTAATTACTTGTGTCTTTATAATTTGTGTTGATAGGCAAACTGTGGACAAGAAGTATGAAGGTTGCTTACAACATTCTGCATAAATTAGGTACAAAGCAAGAACCGATGGTGCGACCTGGAGATAGGGTAAGTGCAGTTTAATTGATCACGTCTGCAAAATGCATGGTCTTATGCGGAAAAGACACGCACTGTTGTAAAGTTTGAGAATCCGGTGTCTCCTAAAGCTAACACTACTAAATAAGGCTTTCTTAACATTTATTATGAACCAGGAGCAGTTATGTAACAAGTAATTTAATTTTCACAACAACTCAGTCGGCTTCCCACACTTCATGAGTTCACTGGGACTTGAGAGGTTAAGTTTCAAAATCAGATGCAGGCACGGAACTAGTAAGTGGTGTAGCCAGCACTCATACCCATTTATGTCTGACCCCAAAGCCCGTGTCACATGTTGTCCTGCCTGCCTGTCCACCTGGGCAGGCAAGACAATTATATTTATAACTTTTTTTACATTAGTCAGTGAGATCGGCAATCTTGGCAGCAAACCATTAGTACCATTTCGTTCCCACTGTTAAATTTCTTAATATAGGCTACTGTCTTTCACTGAAAAGCAAATTTTTATTCTTACTGCAATCTGGCAAGTTAGGACAGATATTAGTATTTCCATTTCAGTGTTACACTCACAGCAGGTAATCTTGTCCAAGCTTTACCCCTGGCTTAGATGCGGGGCTGGGAATAGAACCCCGTTTTCTTGCCTTTTTCCATATGCTGCTGTGTACCTTAGATGCAGGCATATAGCATTTATTTGCATCCAAAGGACTCCAAATGGATTTTATAAGAATATCATTGTAGAGTACCATAACCCAACAAGAAAACAAGCTATGATTTACGTAAGAGGTATGATAGCCCAACTGGTATGGCTCAGTGGTTGAGCATCAACCCATGCATCAAGAGGTCACCAGTTCGATTCCTGGTCAGGGCACATGCCCAGGTTGTGGGCCAAATCCCCAGTGGGGGGCATGTAGGAGGCAGCCAATCGATGTTCTCTCTCATCGATGTTTCTCTCTCTCCCCCTCTTTCTCCCTCTCTCTCTAAAATCAATAAAGAAAAAATAAATTTAAAAAAGATATAAAGACACAACCCAGCCCAGCCGGTATGGCTCAGTGGTTGAGCATCAACCCATGCACCAAGAGGTCACCAGTTTGATTCCCGGTCAGGGCACATGCCCAGGTTGTGGGCCAAACCCCCAGTGAGGGGCATGCAGGAGGCAGCCAGTCGATGTTCTCTCTCATCAATGTTTCTCTCTCTCTCCCTCTCTCCCCCTTCCTCTCTCTGTAAAAATTAATAATAATTAAAGAAAAAAAATTTTAAAAAGAAAAAAAAAATTGAAATAAAGACACAGCCCGTTTCAGGGAACTTTTTAAGAATGCTGCCACCCAGGATTCCGTTGTAGACTATGGTTCTTTCCAATGTCTTCTTGAACAGGTTTGGCCTTTAGATTGTCTATTGGAGGACTCACACTTGTTGTGTATAAAACTTACTACAAAAGTACAATAATCAAGGTAGTGTGGTACTGACATAAAGACATAGACCAATGAAATAGGGAACCCAGAAGTAAGTTCTTGCATATATGGTCAGACAATAAGGATGCTAGACATTAAATGGGGAAAGGATAGTTTATTCAACAAGTGGTACTGGGAAAAACAGGTATCTATAAGCAAAAGAACAAAGTTGAACCCTTATAGCACAAATAAAAACATAATTCAAAATATATCAAAGACCTAAACATAAGAGCTAAAACTATACAACTTTTAGAATAAAATATAGGGGGAAAGCTTTATGACATTGGATTTGGCAATGATTTCTTAGATGTTGACACCAAAAGCCCAGGTCCAAACCCCCAAATTGATAAATTGGACTTCATCAAAATGAAAAAAAACTTTTGTGCACCAAAGAACATTGAGAGGCAAGATAAAATATGGGAGAAAATGTTTGCAAATCATATACCTGATAAGTGATTAGTATCCAAAATATACAGTTTAAGGAACTCTTACAGCTCAGCAACAGTGACAATGAAAACATTTCTTAAAGCTTAAAAATGGGCAAAGAACTTGAATAGACATTTCTCTAGAGAAGATTTACAAGTGGCCAATAAGCACATGAAAAGGTCAGCATCACTAATCATTAGGAAAATTTACATTAAAACCACAATGAAATACTATCTCATACCCAATAGAATGGCTACTATGAAAAATAGAAAATAGCCAGTTTGGCTCAGAGGTTGAAGCATTGGCCCACAGACCAAAGAGTAGAAAGAGTCATGGGTTTCATACCTGGCCCCAGTCAGGGTCATGGCAGGGAGCAACCAATCCCTGGGTCTCTCTTGCATTAATGCCCCCCCCCTTCCTCCCTCCATTTGTTTCTCCCTCCCTCCTTCCCTCTCACTCTATCTAAAAAAATCAATGGAAAAATATCCTCAAGTGAGAATTTAAAAAAATAGAAAACAGCCCTGGCTGGTTTGGCTCAGCGGTTAGAGCGTTGGCCTGCGGTCCAGAGAGACCTGGGTTCAGTTCCCGCTGAGGGCGCGTACCTCGGTTGCAGTTTATCCCCGGCCCTGGTTGGTCGTGCGGGTGGCAACCACTTGATGTGTCCCTTGATGTGTCCCTTTCATGTTGATCTCTCTCTCTCTCTCTCTCTCTCTCTCTTCATCTCTTTCTCTCCCACTCTATCTGAACAAAAAATGGAAAAATGTCCTCCAGTGAGGATAAAAAAAGAAAACACTAAGTTGTTGGCAACATGTGAAGAAATTGGAAATCTCGTGCGTTGCTATAGGAATACAGTTGTGTATCTGTGATGGAAAACAGTATGATGGTTTCTTAAAAAATTAAACATAGCCCTTACCGGTCTGGCTCAGCGGTTGGAGCGTAGGCCTGAGGACCGGAGTGTCCCGGGTTCAGTTCCCACTAAGGGCATGTGCCTCAGTTGCAGTTTGTCCCCGGCCCCGGTTGGGGTCGTGTGGGTGGCAACCAGTCGATGTGTTTATCTCACATCCATGTTTCTCTCTCACCCCCTCCCTCCCTCCCACTATATCTGAAAATAAATGCAAAAAAATATCCTCGGGTGAGGATTAAAATTTAAAAAACCATAGAATTACGATATGATCCAACAATTCTACTTCATTTTCAAGCTAATTGAAAGGAGGATTTGAATAGATATTTCTACACTAATGTTCATAGCAACATTATTCACAAAAACCACAAGGTGAAAACAACCCACGTGTCCATAGGTGGGTGAATGGATAGCAAAATGGGGAATACATATATATAATGGAATATATTACTCAGCCTTAAAAAGGAAGGAAATTTGGGCACATACTACATACAATATGGATGAACCTTGAGGACATTCTACTAAGTGGAATGGGCCATCACAAAAGGACAGATATTCCATGCTTCCACATATATGAGGTACTTAGAGGAGGTAAATTCATAGAGACAGAGCAATGGTGATTACCAGGGCCTAGGGGAGGACAATGGGGAATTATTGTTTAATGGGGATAGAGAAAAGGAAAACATTCTGGAGATGGATGATGGTGATAGTTGCACACAATGTGAATGCATTTAAATCTGCTGAATTGTACACTTGAAAATAGTTGAGATGAACTTTGTTATATTTATTTTACCACAAGAAAAAACATCAGTTGTAATATATTTCCCTTATCTTTATTTTGGTTATGCTAATACCTTTAATAGAGTTTGTTTGTTTTTTGTAGTATTACCTACAGATTTTTGAAGTTCCCTTATAGTTACAAAATAAACCATGTCTGTCCAGCCAAGATGTTTATAGGAGTATGGATGGCACAGTTTGATGGGGTAAAATATGTAAAGGGATTTTTTTGTCAGTGGCTGGTTTGTATTGTATGAGGGGTACTACTTTTCTAAATTATTCTTTTAAAATTATTTATGTGGCCATGACATGGCCAAGATGGCAGAGGGGGAGATGGCTGCCTGGCAGGGCGGGGCCAGGGCCCGGAGAAGAGTTTGAGATTGTGACTGGAGCTAGCTGCAGGGCTGGGGGACCTATAGAGTGTGGCCAAGGCTGCAGGCGGCGGGGGAGGGCTAGTCGGCGCCCGTCCTCACCCTCAGGCGAAGGACCATGGGCACTTGTCCTCGAGATGTGGGAGCACACAGGAGAAAACCAAGCAGCAATGTCTTACACAGAAGTCAAGCATTGTGGACAATAAGAAATGCAAATACTTAACCAAGCCAGACCTACAGATTCGAAATTGCAATGAGCAGTCATGCCAAACTCGATGGATGATGACATACCGAGCCCCGTGTTCACGAGCCTGTGGAAAAAGGATGCAGAGCAGACAGGTGGTGTGTACCCAACAACTGAGCACTGGAACCCTGTGGGGCCCCCGAGAGAGACTGCGCTGGCCTGAGCCTGCCTCTGCCCAGCGCTGCAAGGGCCAGGACTGCATGACCGTGTGGGAGGAGGGATTGTGGTCAAGGTGCTCTGTCAGTGTGGCAAAGGTGAGGTATAGTAACCCTAGAAAGAAATGCGCTCTCTCCACCCGACCCAGGGAGACTGAGTGCTGTGAGGATTACTCAAAATGCTACCTGTGGTGAATGAGTGACTGGTCTAAACCCATCACAGGAACTTCAGAATGTTTTTTGTTTCAAAAAATTGTTCCCCACACCAACAGACACCCTGGGGTCAAAGCCCCTCTTATGAGCTTAGTTGGCTCCTCCCTCTCCGCTTGGTCACCATGGAAACTTGGCTAGGCAGATGCCTACATTCCACATTCCACACTGAGCCATGAAGGAGGCTCCAACCGGCTCTAACCTAGTGGAAGAGGACCGAAGGGATGCCAAAGCGTCATCCTAGGCTGCACTGGCGTAATAGCCTACCCGAGACAGTGGTGAGGGTCTGGCATCACGTGGATAGGGACACCCTGTGGCCAGTGGAGGATGAGCTCAGCACAGTGGAAACGAACCAGGGGGTGCAGAGCTCCCGAATCCTGAAACAGCCTGACGAGTTGAGATCCCGGAGGCCGAAACAGGGCGTCAGTGTCAGGGAAAAACTCACACACTTCGCCATCCACCGAGACAGTGGGGACCTGAGTG